GTTGGCTCTCAGCACAGCAGCTACCCGCCTGACCCCTGGCCCCAGGCAGGCAGTCGCACATGTATCCCTGGAGCTGCCTGCACACAGCTTGTGGGAGCCGGTGGGCCAAAAGGACCCTGCCCTCCAAATGCTAGGGAACTGTGCTCTGATCACAGCGGTGCAAACAGCTAGGTAACCATGTTGCACCCCACCCCTGTTGTCACATGCCCTTCCCCCTTAAGCTGAAGTGACTTCCAGAGGATTGAAAGGGCTAGTGCTCTTCTCTCCCTTCATTTTTCTCTTTTTCCCTTTTTGGGAGCCAGGCGTTAAAGACTAGGACGTTCAAAAACAACTGCAAATAAGGGGAAAGTTAGAACATGATCTTGGGTGCTCGGGAAAAGGCTCAGAAAAGACCTGAGCAGACAGTGTATTTACAGGTCAAGCTGATCCTTGCTGATCCACAGAGATAGTGTACAGCAATAATAAAAATAAAAACAAAAAACCAGCCAGCCCAGGGGAAGGGGGAGAATCAGAATTCCAAAGTTACCACATTATTCAATTCAAATATCCTCTGTTCAGTAAGAAAATCACAAGGCAGGGGCGCCTGGGAGGCTCAGTCGGTTAAATGTCTGCCTTCAGCTCAGGTCATGATCCCAGGGTCCTGGGATGGAGCCCTGCATCAGGCTCCCCGCTCAGTGGGAAGCCTGCTTCTTCCTCTCACTCTCTCTCTGTGCTTGCTCTTTCTCTACATCTCCCTCAAATAAATGAATTTAAAAAAAAAAATCACAAAGCATACAAAGAAACCAGAAAGTATAGTTTATAAAAAGGAAAAAAAAAATTAATGAAATTCTCTCTGACAAGGACCTGATCGCAGATACACTAGACAAAGACTTTAAAACAACTAAAAGAAGTTGTGGAGAAAGAAAACCATGTATGAACCAAATAAAAATACCAATAAACAGATGGGAAACTTAAATCTGGAGCTCCAAAGTACAATAACTGAAATGAAAAATTCACTAGAGGAGTTCTGAGACAGAATTGCGCAGACAAAAAAAAAAAAAAGGTGAACTTGAAGAGAGGACAGGGGAAATTATCAAGTCCAAGGAAGACAAAGGAAAAAGTTGGAAGAAAATGGAACAGAGCTTAAGGGGACCTGAGGGACACCAGCAGGCAGACCAATGTATGCATTGTGGGAGTCCCAGAAGGGGAAGAGAGAGAAAAGGGGCAAAGAGAATCCTTGAAGGAATAATGCCTGGAGACTTCCCAAATTTGAGGAAAGACATGAATATAAACATCCAGGAAGCTCAACAAACACAAGGAAGATGAACTTAAAGCGACCCAAGCTAAGAAACATTGTAATCAAACTTCCAGACCCAAAGACAAAGAATTTGAAAGCAGCAAGAGAAGGGAATTTTCACGTACAGGGGTCCTCAATAAATTATCAACAGATTTTTCATGAGAAAACTTTGGAAACCAGAAGGCAGTGGGTTGATACATTCAAATGCTAAAAGAAAAAACCCTGTCAACCAAGAACCCTATGTCCAGCAGTACTCTCCTTCAAGAGTGAGGGATAAATTGAGACGTCCCCAGATAAACAAAAGAGGGAGTTCGTGACCACCAGACCTGCCCTGCAAGAAATACTCAAGTGGGTCCTGTATACTGAAATAAGAGAACATTAGTGACTTTATATGGAGAAATAAAGATCTCAATAAGGGTAAATACATGGCCCCCTGGGTACAGAGTCTCTGTTTTGTAAAGTTAAAGGGATTGTAGGGATGGATGGGTGGATGGGTGGACGGACAATAGTGTGAGTGTATTTTATACCACTAAGCTGTACACTTAAAAATGGTTAAGATGGTAAATTTTATGTTATGTATGTTTTATACCAGGATAAAAAAAAAAGCTAAGTGGAAGACAAAATTGTCAGGCTTTTAGAAAATAATCCAGAAGACCATATTTCTTTAGTTTGGTTGGGAAGGTTTTGTGAAATAGGACCAGGAAGCGCTACCTGTGAAGAAAAATACTGATGACTCCAACTCATTAAAGTTATGAACTTCTGCGTGCCATGTGTTGGTTTCTGAGAGGTGACGCCATGTTGCTGATTTCTCTCGCACAGGGTCTTGTGAGATGTCTGTTCTGAGTCCTTGTATGTTGAAAATACCTTTTTTTCATTATCACCCTTTTTTAAAAAAAAAATATTTTATTTATTTATTTGACAGAGATGGATACAGAGAGAGAGAGGGAACACAAACAGGAGAAGCAGGGAGCCCGATGCGGGGCTCGATCCCAGGACCCTAGGATCATAACCTGAGCCAAAGGCAGACGCTTAACGACTGAGCTACCCAGGCGCCTCTCATTATCACTCTTAAATGATAGTTTACTTGGCTGTGGGATTCAGCGTTCAAGTTCTGTGCCCTCGGCACTGCAGAGGGGCTCTGCCGGAGCCTCCGGGCTCCAGTGCCCGTTCACCCCGGTGCAGGCACATGGTCATGTCTCCCTGGCAGCTCCGAGTTTTTCTCTATCTCGATGCCCTCAGATCTCACCCCCAAGTATTTCTGAATGGATGTACCTCTTTACCTTCCTTGGCACTCGCCGAGTACTTCCGGTCAAGAGCTCATGCCTTCAGTTCTGAGAGGTCATTGTTCTTACATGTGGATCCAAATATTGCCCTGAGGCCAGGCCCCCCCCCCCACTCACCACGGGCGCATCCCCCAAAACCTCCCTTCGTTCAGGATGTCTGTTGGGTTTACAGATCATTCACTTTCTTGTTTTCTGCTCTTCTATTTTAAAATTTCTTTCTATCTTTGTCATGGTGAATTTTGTTCCTGTGGGGGAAGACACTTTTCCATCTGGAAACCAGAAATCCCTTTTTAAAAATAGTTGAAGTTTAGTAACTGTTTTGTTTTTATGCACCGTGTTGGTTTTTATAGTTACCTTCTCCAGGGCAACGGGGGAACCTCTGGCTGATAGTGTGGACTCTAGAGCCAGATGGCTGCACTGAGCCTGGCTTTACATCATGGTGTGCCTCAGTTTCCCCATCTGTAAAGTGAGAGGAAATAATGGCACACATTGCATAGAGTGTTGTCAGGATTGAATGAGAGCATCCCCTGGCACACAGCACGTGGTATATGTGAGCCCTAGTGCACGGCACGTGACACCCATATTCCTGGTGCCTTAGGAACATGTTTAAGTTTGGCGAGAGGTACGTGTGTTTAAGGAAAGAATTGTGCCAGGGAATGACAGGGAGGGGCTTAGGGAAGGCAGTTGTTTTGCACCTGGGTTCACAAAGACTCAGCTGGGGACATGGCCACAGCCCCCAGGAAATCAGACTGTGAGGCTCTGGGTCAGCTTTCCGAAGGCAGCCCCGGGAGGGCCAGCCTCATTTGCAGGCATACCTTGCCAGCCCGGCAGTCATCGCCGTCCAGCCCGGCCGGGTCCCAGAGTGGCCTACCCTGCCCAGACCTTGTGACGTGGGTAGGAAAGGACAGCAGTGGCCTGAAGAAAGCCCAGGCCCTCCTCACTGAGTCCCTGCAGCGGCCCACCCTGGGAACCACACTGAGGGCAGAGGCAGGTCATGCGACTCGGGAGGGGAGAAGACCCTCCAACACACACCCCCACCAGCAGCTTCCTTCAGGCATTGTCTTTGCCTCCCCAGGTGGCAGCCCCACCAGAAGCCACCCCTGCCCCTTGGGCCATGTCTCCTCCTTCCTGCCCAGTTAAACCAGGGTGCCATCTGCGTCTGGGGGCTGTGCATATGGTTCTGGTTGGCACGTCTCCGGTCTGCCACACCCCACACCTGCTCCCCAGCTCTTCCACGTCCCACCACGTGCTCTAGAGCTCTCTGGCGAGAAATCCCCGCCCTTGGGGGAGATGAGAAAAGAAGGCCAGTCCTAGAGCAAGCTGAGGTGGGACAAACGCCCTGGAGAAAATTCAGTGAGCTGTGGCAGGCAGGGAGCGGGGACTGCAGCGGCTGGCAGCCCCCCTGGGGCCCGAGCAGCACTGGGCACCCCTCCTTCTGTGCGCCCCCAGCCCACGAGGCCGCTCCTTCCTGCACTGACACACCTGGGCCACAGCCATGCCTCCCGCGGGGTTCCCAAACGTTCCACATCAGTGAACCGGCTTCCTCATAAATCCCCTGGGTTGGAAATAATGCAGAGGGTCATTTCTGAGCCCCTGGCTCATCCCTGGCCCCAGCCAGTGCCCCACAGCCTGAGACTGACCCTGAGGGCCTCCAGACCCCTCCTCCCACCTGTCCCTCCCAGGGGGCAGGGGCAGCATCAGCCCTGAGGGTGCTATGCAACCTGGCGGAGGAGAAGCCCAGCGGACTCAGTGGGCAGAAAAGACACCAGGACCAAGAAGTGTACACAATGCTCAGTGTTTATTTGCAAGATGGGGGCAGGGTGGGCAGAGGGAGTGCTGGGGAGCACTGACCCCTCCCTGGCCCACCTCCCAACGGCCGTGGTCACCCCAGGCCTAGGTTCACACGTGGGCGGGCAGCCACCCTGCCTGACACCACTCCCCGGAGGTAGGTGGTGGCCACTGGACAGGCCCCAGCCCACGTCCCACTGCAGGAGGTGGTCAGCAGGAACCTGCTCCATGGGGCTTGGGGAGCAGTGGGGGGCACGCAGGCCCACAGTGGGGGACAGCACGGCAGCTCCAGGGCAGTTTGCTATGGGGCATCCCTCTGACACGAAGAAGGGGGTGAGTCCGGGCAGCACAGGCACTTGTCTCAGATGAGGACCAGGCCTGACGGCCAGGCAAGTGGCCAAGACGTGCTGGAGGGGCTCTGAGGGCAAGGCCCCCTCCCGGAGCCCTCCTCAAGCAGGTCCTCACTGCGCCGTCGCCCTCCAGGGCGACCCCCAAGGCACAGGTCCCACGAGGGCCCAGGCAGCAGGTGTGCCTGGGCTCCTGCAGCAGGCTGGCCGAGCTTTCTGTGGTTGGGTGGTGTGTGTCGTGGCTCCAGATTGGGGTGGGGGGCCTGGCGGGAGGGGGTCAGAATGGCAACAGACAGTGGTGGGGCCCTAGGTCAGGAAGATGGGGGTGCTGTCCTCAGGAGCCTCGGGCGAGCGGGCGCAGGATGAGGTACACCTGCACTTGTCCACGTGGGTGTAGGTGTGCTGGATGGCAGTCCCGTCGGGACAGTGCATGGTCACCACCTCCTCATGAACACCTGCGTCCTGGCAGCAGGTGCACTGGTGCTCCATAGCCTGGGCCTCCATGGAGTACCTGCAGACGCAGGGCCGCCCTCAGGACCCACCTGGTCCAGCCCCAGCCCCCGAGCTCCTGGTGTCTCTGGGGTCTGGAGCCAATGGCCCCCACCCACTCCCGGCAGCCCGGGGCTCATCCTCCGAGCACTAGGGGCTTCTCTGACCGGGCCTGGGACAGTGCTCAGGGTCACTGAACTCTGACCTTCCCGTGCCAGGCCCCCTCTTGTCTTGGAACCAGCTCACAGAACTTGCTGACCCGGCCGGACCCTCCCCCCCGGGGGAACCTTCCCTGGGTCTTGAGCCAGCCCTGCACCGGTCCTTCTGCTCTTGGAGCGCACTGCTCACACCTGGCGAAGCCAGGGCAGTGTGGGGTGGGGAGGGGCCTCTCGGGAGGGGCTCAGGCCTCGCTCACTTGGACACTCCGGGGCATGAGCCCCTGCAGAACGTGAGGTTGACCGGGGCCCGGGTGGCACAGTCCTGGTGTGTCAGGATGGTTCTGTTGACGCGGACTTGGCACTTGTCTGGGCAGACAGAGGAAAGACGGTGGAGGTGTGGGAAGGGACCTCTGAGGACCCCGACCTGGGGCCGCTCCCCACACGCCACCCTCCCAAGCCCTGCGCTCAGGGTGGCGCCCTGGGGCCAAGGGCAGCTTGGGGCAGAAATCAACGGGTGGAGACTGGATGGAGACTGGGCGGAGGTGGAGGGCGGGTAGGCGGGCCTTGACTTACCCACTTCCTCACAGGAGTAACAGCAGCCGGTTTTCCTGAGGATGCCCTGAAGGGGGAGGGGGAGAGAGAGGGCCGGCTCGGGGCGGGGCGGGGCCTCCGGGGCGGTGGGGGGCAGGGCCTGCCGGTGGAGATGTGGGCAGGGCCTCCGAGGTGGTGGGGGTCCCGGCCGAGAATCTGGGCTGTGTCGGGTCAGGCCTCTGCTGTGGGGCAGCCCGAGCCCCAGGACACACCTGGCAGCTGGACACGTCCGGGCAGGGCGTGGGCCTCGGAGTGAGCACGTGCAGCCTGTTCTTGACCTCGCAGCGGTACTCCGTGCAGTTGTCCACGAGGTTGTTGACCCAGGTCTCGTTGGGCTGAAATGCAACGGGGAAGGTGGAGGCTCGCAGGGAATTATCTGGTGAGCTGAGAGGGGCCGAAAGGAAGGGTCTCCCGGCTGGGGGTGCTGAGACCAAACCCCCTCGTACCTGGACCAGCCAGCCATCCTCCGTGGGACAAGCTGTCTGCACGCACTCCCCACAGCATTGTCCGGCCACCTTCCAGTACTCGTAGCCCTGAGGGACAGGGGTGGTTCCATGGCTACCCCCAGCCCTGCTCCCCAGCCCTCCTGCCCTCCCATCCACACCCTAAGGGCCCAGCGACCTCCTTGGCAACCCGGCCCCCGTGAACCCATCCCTGCCCAGGGCTGGGTGTGCCCAGGAGGGCTTACCTGGCGACAGGTAGTGTTACAGGTGTCCTCCTCACACTGCACGATTGGGCCCTGGGTGTCCCCGGACAGGCAGGTGCACGTGTGGCAGGGAGTGACGGATGGGAAGGTTGCACCGATCTGCAGTGGACGGGGTAAGTGGAGGTGACATTGAGGACAGTGGCGGAGGCCCCAGGGCCAGGACCCCTCCCTGCAGCTGGGTGGGCTGGGAGAAGGGGAGACCTACAGAGAGCGGGTTCTTCCTTCCTCAGATGGAATTATGCTTGTGCCCCTGGCTAAGCACAGACCAGGGCAGAGGCAGGACCCCAGGCCGGCTGGAGGGGCTGGGAGGGCACGGTCCCACCCCAAAACTCTTGCCATGAGGAAGCTCCTGGGACGCCCCAAGCCAGCAACGCCCCCAGGCGCTCGACAGACAGGGCTGCCCCCTTGTCCCCCTCGCCCGTGTCCCCACATGGCTCTAAAGGGACCGGAGCCCTCACACTTATCCCCTGTCCTGCAGGAGGGTGCAGGCGGGGCCAGGCACGTGCAGATGAGGGGTGGAGGTCCCATGTGGATGAGCTGAGCCTGGGGCCCCACCCACTGCGACTCATCCCACTCAGCCGCCCAGCGGCTGAGCCCTTACCCCATAGGCGGTGTGATTGTGGTAACACAGCCGAGGTTCTGGAAGGAAAGAGGAGCTGAGCACCTGCCCGACTGGTGGGGAGGGAGGGCTCCGACACTGCCCCGCCGCCGAGCCCCCAGCCCCACTCACGGCAGATGAAGGTGGGGCAGCAATCACCCTCCTCCTGGGTGCGGATCAGCTCCTCTCCCGGCCCACATTTGGGTGGGCTCTGGGGGCAGGTGGTCGTGTTGCAGACTGTGGGAGGGTCGGGGTGCCGTCAGGGGGCCCCTCACTGAACCGGGGCACGCCAGAGGTCGGCGGCCCCGCTCTCCCACCACGCTGGCCCAGCCTCAGCCCCTCCTCGGCCCCGCAGCTCCCCCCACCCCGTCACCCTCCGGCCGGTGGGGCACAGGGCTCACCGCACAGCGTCTGCAGACAGCATGAGTTGTTGGCCAGAGGCCTGGCCTCAGCCACAAAGCCCACCCGGCTGCACTGCGGGGGCCGCTCCAGGGCCTCGCACTGCACGGGGGTGCACTGCACTGACACGGAGCCCCTGTGGCACCTGCAGTCCTGGCAGTTGCTGACCCACCGCTCCCCAGGCTGGAACAGAGCAGTTAGGGTCCCTGGAGACTCCTGGACAGGGCCCTGGCCTCTTGGGCTGCCTCCAGCAGCAGGGAAGGCCCCACCCTCAGTGTGGCCAGCTCAGCCCTCAGCCTCCCACTCAAGCTGCCATCTCTGGAGCACCCATGGGACAGGGGTGTGTCTCACACCGGGCTGCCCCATGCCAGCACTCCGCAGGGGCTGCCCGGGCAGAGCAGGCTGCCCTGAGACGGGGCCCTCCCTCCCTCCGCTCAAGCCAGGGGGCAGGTAGCCGGGGGGCAGAACACTCACGGATTTGGGAAACCCATCTGGTCCCACACAGGCTGGAAGGGAAGAAGAAAGGGGATTCAGTTGGCGTGCGGGGTCCCGGACCCAGTGGGCAGAGACCACAGGCCCTAGGACATGTCCTTGCAGGCCTGGCCACCCCACCCCCAGCCGGGGCTCTTCTTCCTGCTGGGGACAGAAGCCCCCGGAGGACTCGGTGTCATGGCCACACTGCACCTTCAGGGTGGACACTGGGCTAGGAGAGCAAGCACCCGGGAGGGATGGTCTCCCGCTAGAGGGTCTTCCCACCCCAGGCCCTCGGCCTCCGGCTCTGCAGCAGCTCCGGGATCAGGGCCACTGGGGCCATGCTCACCGCACTCGCGCACGCAGACATTCGTGTGTGTGTTGAAGAGGGTGTGTCCGTCGGGGCAGAAGCAGCCTTCTACCAGCCCGCTGCCCACTCTGCTCTGGCTCCTGCAAGGCAAGGAGGGCATCCCTGGGACCCTTGAGCCATGGAAGTGGCAGTCCGGGGGCGGGAAGGGCAGAAGGCATGGCAGAGAGCTGTGTTGACCAGCCGCCCAGGGCCTGGAGTCGGGGGTCAGAGGTTGGCGTGCAGGGAAGGAAGCCCCAGGGACCTGAGGCTTGGGGGGGAGTCGCAGACCCTCCCGGCCCGCCACACACCCTTCAGGCAGGCTTTACCTGGAGTCGCAGGACGTGGGCTGTGCAGGGCCACAGGGCTGGTACACCTTGTCGGGCGGGCAGGTGAAGTCTGGGGTCACAGAGACAGGAGTCAGGTGGGCCGAGGGGGCCGGAGCGCCCGGGGCTGCCCTGACTCACCGCATAGCCCGCTGGTGGCGTTCCGCCAGTTGGGGCAGGCGCCCCGGGCGCGGCAGAGCGCTGCGTAGGCCTCCAGGCTCCCGCAGGGCGCCCCGGGGCGGTCGGCCTGGCAGCCGTCACTGACGCAGGAGGTGACGAACGGGTCCGGTGGGATGAGGGCGTGGCACTCTGCGAAGAGCCTGCGGGAAGGGGCGGTCAGAGGCCGGGGCGGGGAGCGGCCCGCCGCCCCACAACCACCAGACCCACAGGAGCGACTCACGGGCTCCGTAGCAGTTCGCAGAGGGGCGCGGGGGGGCACGGGGAGGAGGCGGGTGTGCTGGGTGCTGAGGGCGCGGGGCCGGCCGTCGGGGGCGGGCGGGTAGGTGCCCAGCAGGCCTCCCGGCCTCTCTCGGGGACCAGCCAGCGGTGGGCCATGTCTTGGCAGGTGGGGGCCATGGTGCCGTCGGGCTGGCGGCAGTCGTCCGTCTGGCTGTTGGTGCAGGTGCCTGGGGCGGTGGGGCAGCAGGGTCAAGCTCTCCCCCCTCCCCTCTCCCCACCCGTGCTGAGCGGCTGTGGCCGGGGCGCCCCTGGCCCCCACGCACCGCACTGGCCCTCGGTGTTGTGGCTGAAGCGGCTGTAGGACAGCTGGATGTGGAAGATGTGCCCGTTGAAGGTGATGTTCACACCAATGGCAGGGATGTCGATGCCCATCATGGTCGTCCCCATCACCGACACACTCACGCCATTCTTGCTGAAGCCCAAGCTCACTGGGATTTGGTCGAACAGGACCTGGGGATGTGTCGGGGGGATCCATGACTGGGTGTTGGGGCAGCAGGGCCTGCCTTCAGGGCTCGGCCTCACACCCCGAAGTGCAGATGCTCCCCTTGGGACCTGGGGTCCCCGTTGGCCATGCTTGGGTCCCTGCCCCAGGTGCCTCTGGGAGCTGACCTCCGGGCCCGCGGGCCTTCCCTGGTGATGCCGGGGCACGGCCACTCACCAGGCTCTGCTCCTGCCCGCGTGTGCCGGTGCTGGTGGTGAGGATGACCTCCATGGACTTGTAGTGGATGCTGAGGGCACGGGGACAGTGGGCGGAGGCCGTGGTGGCCCTGGTGGGCCCGCAGTAGTAGCTGTTCATGTAGATGCTGAGGTTCCCATAGCGTGGGCTGATCTCCTTCATGAGCACGTGGGTGCAGTTGTCCCGAAAGGAGTAGGAAGTGCCATCGAAGGTGGTGTAATACGAGTCCCCCCAGCCACTGCAGGAGCCTGCGGGGCATGGACGGTCCCCTCACCCAGCGCCACTCCAAAATGGCCACCTTAGGGGAGCCCCCCTGGGCCCCAGCTGCCCTTTTTTATAAAAGGGGGTGGAGTGGGTTGCATGGTGGCCCCAAAGGCGCGTCCCCATGTCCAACCAGACCTTGAGAATGTGCCCTCAACTGGGAAAAGATCTTTGTGTCTGTGATTAAGGACCCCGAGATGACACCAGCCAGGATCACCCAGATGGCCCTAACCCAGTGACAAGTGTCCTTGCAGGAGAGAGAGGAGCGGCCACGGGAAGAGGCCGTGGCTGGAGGCTCACAGCCACAAGTCCCGGACGCCTGGAGCCCCCAAAGCTGAGAAGGCAGGAAGGGCCCTCCCTGCAGCCTCCAGAGAGAGTTGGTCATTGCTGATGTTTTGACCTCCGTGTGTGGCTCTCACTTCCTCCTGGAACCTGACACCCATACCATCCAGGGGCCAGGCTAGAAGCTCTCCCCGCAGGAAGCTCCAGGAGGGACGCTCAGGAATCCCTGGGATAACAGCCCCCCGAGCCCGGGCCCCCTTCCAGCCACAGAGGCTGCCGTGCGGGTGGGCTCAGCAAACCTGGGCCTTCCCCCTGCTGTGGAGGCGTGTCACCCTCTCCGGCCGGCACCATGTGCCGCGGCCCTGGCTCCCGCGTCCCCCCCACCGATGCCCTCTGCCCAGAGCGGCCGCCCCTCACCCCGCCACCACTTACACTCGCACTCAAAGTGGAAGTCACATGGCTCGCTCTCCTGCGACACTTTGACCGGAGGGTGTCCGTTCACGCAGTGGATGCTGGCCACTGGCTTCCGCCCCAGCAGGACCATACGGTTGTGGCCCTCACACCGAGCCACCGTGCAGTCCGACAGGGTCCAGGACTCGTTCACCTGGGGGAGAGTGGGCGAGATGCTCACCAACTAGGACCACGAGACCTGCCCCCACCGCCCTGCCACAGCCTCAGGTCCCGCCTTCCTGGGGCAGAGCTGCCCTGTGTCCTGGCCACCCCCGGTGCCATCCCAGCCTGAACCCCGAGTGCCTTCCTCCAGCCAGAGCTGCCGTGGAGGGCTCAAGGGGGCCACAGCGACCCCAGGCCGGGCTGGGCCCACCATCGGTGCCCCAGCCAGGCACACAGCACAGGCAGGAGGTGCACCTTTCGGGGAGGGACGATGAGGTTGCAGCCCTGAGACTGGGAGGGCGAGGCCATGGGGGCCGAAGAGGACTCTGGGGGCGAAGAGGTGGGGCAGGTGTCCTGGAAGCGGTCAATGTCGCAGTGCTGGTTGCAGATGGCATAGAAGGAGCAGCCCGCACCGTCTGTCTTATTGTAGACCACGTCCCCTGTGAGGAGAGAATCACCAAGACAGACATGGCAGCGTCAGCTCCGGAGAGGTCGGGAGGCACAGTGCGCAAGGTGGACACTGGGCAGGGAATGACGGGCTCCTCCACTCACCAGGTGAGAAGAGCTGCCCGAACGCCCGGCAGAGGCAGCGGGTGGTGAAGTTCCAGCTGGGGGACACGGGGGTCCCCGTGGTGCTGAAGACAGATGTGGACACCGTGGTCACTGTCACTGGTGGCAAGGTGTGGGTGGCCGTGGCCCTGGAGGTGGCCGTGGAGAGGCCCAAGGTGGTGCCGGGCGGAGAGCTGGTGGCCGCGGGCGTGGGGGGTGATAGGGAGGCTCTAGGGCTGGGCCCTGTGCTGGAGGTGGCCAGAACTGTGCTGGGCACGGCACTGGGGGGTCCAGGCGAGGTCTTGGGGTGCCAGGATGTGGACGCACTGCTGTGGGGGCTGAGTGTGGAGGCTGTGGAGACCTGGATGATGGGCATGGAGTGGAATGGCGTGGTGGCCCCCGTGGTGGGTGTTGCTGGGGACGGCGTGGTGGCCCCCATGGTGGGCGTTCCAGGGGACGGCGTGGTGGCCCCCGTGGTGGGCGTCTCTGGGGACGGCGTGGTGACCCCCGTGGTGGGCGTCTCTGGGGACGGCGTGGTTGCCCCCGTGGTGGGCGTGCCTGGGGATGGCGTGATGGCCCCCGTGGTGGGTGTCGCTGGGGATGGCGTAGTAGCCCCCGTGGCCGTGGTGCTGGTGCAGTGGCCAGCGTCCTCACAGCAGAGCACGCGCACGTGGTAGTTGTGGCAGTAGGGCAGGGGCCCCGGCTGCTCACGGTTGCGGCACACCAGCCCGAAGCTCACGTCGCACCGGACCACCTGGCCCAAGTCCTCCAGACGCACGTCCGGCGCCTTTTCCGATCGGCACTGGATGTCCCGGGGGCGCTGGCAGAAGTCGTGCCCCGCTGAGCGGAAAACCGAGAAGGTCTCGAAGTCCCCGCCATCCAGGCCCGGTATGGGGTAATCCTCGTCGAACCAGTCTGTCCACGTGCACCGTGGGCTGCAGCCCGTGGAGGACGAGGTGGCCAGGGAGTGCGTGGTGGAGCTGGGCGGCGGGACCGTGGAGACCAGCGTGGTCCCGAGGGTGGCCGTGCTGGGCGTGGACCCTGGGGGGATCCACGTGCTGGAGGTCACCACGGGGACCGTGGTGGGTGCACTGGGTGAGGTGGGCTTGGTGGTGGCCATCGGGGTCCTCATGGAGGCAGAGGGACTGGGGCTGGAGACCCTCTCTGTGGTCCTGGCAGGGGTAGCAAGCGTCTGGGTGGTGGAGACAGGGACCCCCTGGGTGGTCCCAGGGGAGGGGGGTCCTGTCTGGGAGGTGGGGCTAGTGATCCTCAGCGTGGTCCCAGGGGATGAGAGGCCTGTCAGGGAGGTGGGGCTAGTGACCCTCAGGGTGGTCCCAGGGGAGGAGGGTCCTGTCTGGGAGGTGGGGCTAGTGACCCTCAGGGTGGTCCCAGGGGAGGAGGGTCCTGGCTGGGAGGTGGGGCTAGTGACCTTCAGGGTGGTCCCGGGGGAGGAGGGTCCTCTCTGCGAGGTGGGGCTAGTGACCCTCAGGGTGGTCCCCGGGGAGGAGGGGCCTGTAAGGGAGGTGGGGCTAGTGACCCTCAGGGTGGTCCCAGGGGAGGAGGGTCCTGTCTGGGAGGTGGGGCTAGTGACCCTCAGGGTGGTCCCAGGGGAGGAGGGTCCTGTCAGGGAGGTGGGGCTAGTGACCCTCAGGGTGGTCCCAGGGGAGGAGGGTCCTGTCTGGGATGTGGGGCTAGTGACCCTCAGGGTGGTCCCAGGGGAGGAGGGTCCTGTCTGGGAGGTGGGGCTAGTGACCCCCAGGGTGGTCCCAGGGGAGGAGGGTCCTGTCTGGGAGGTGGGGCTAGTGACCCTCAGGGTGGTCCCCGGGGAGGAGGGTCCTGGCTGGGAGGTGGGGCTAGTGACCCCCAGGGTGGTCCCCGGGGAAGAGGGTCCTGTCTGGAAGGTGAGGCTAGTGACCCCCAGGGTGGTCCCCGGGGAAGAGGGTCCTGTCTGG